GGGGTTCTCAACTCCAGTCCTCGCGACCCACTGCTCTGCATATTGTGTATGTCTCCCTTATTTAACACACCTGATTCAGATCCTCAGCTTGTTAGGATAGCCGTAGAGTCTATCTTAACGAGCTGAGGATCTGAATCAGGTGTGTTAAGTAAGTGAGACATACACAATATGCAGAGCAGTGGGTCGCGAGGACTGGAGTTGAGAACCCCTGCTCTAACTGACGCTTTCCTTTAGCGTCAGTTAGATGACGCCGTAGGATCGCGTCATGTAAGTGACGCTAAAGGGCGCCTAAAACGTCAAATATTGAAGCATGGTCAAAGGTGACGCCTTGGGGTGAGAATGCGTTGAATTTGTGGTGCTGCAGGCCCATTGTACATCATTACAGTTAATAGTACATTTACTGTTAGGCCTTTAACATTTGGCTTTTTATGCATACACATTTTTTGTGCGTGTTTGTCTGTGTGTTTGTGTGCGTAAACATTCCCTTTCTTGTAAGATGTAATTTATCTTTCAGTATATTTTTTTCTCAGTTAAATCAATCAAATTTGCACCACTTGTGAGCCCATCAGGATATTGGTAAGTGTCTGATCAATACAATGACGTACTGACTCCAGTTATTAAAGTTATTGGGTTAACTGTAGTATTAACTAATCATTATTTAAATCATCATGTAAAATACATCCTTATTAAAATACAATGTATAAGTTCAAATCTTTAATTCCTTTTTTTTTTTAAATGATAACTGAATGGGAATTTTTGGTATCGATGTCAATCAATCAATCAATCAATCAATCAATCAATCAATCAATCAATCAATCAATCATTCTGTCTATCTATCGAAATTTAGAAATGTCCTTTTCCTAAAAATACACACACACACACACACACACACACACACACACACACACACACACACACACACACACACACACACACACACACACACACACACACACACACACACATATATATATATATATATATATATAGCATTCAGCATTCACAAAAATCACAGAGGGTGCTTCTCATTTCTTATTTGTGCATCCTTGTTTCCTTTCCTCGTTTCCTTTCCTTGCGTCTTAGCTCCACCCCTGTATGATGCGAGGGAAGGCTGCAAGGAAAGAAAATGAGGATGGAGGAATCGAATGAACGCTTTTTATACATTGGAAGACTTGATCAATCGAGAGTCATTTCACAGAGTCATCAGCAGCGCTCAAAGTAGCTGCCTTTATGTTGAAGTTTGGATAGAAATTTACAAAAAATAATAATAAAGCAAGATACCCTGTTAAATTATGTGTGATGTGTGGTTTATTTAAACTGCAGAGGTAAAGTATAAATTAAAATTATTTTGACAGATGTGAAGGGGGAGGAGAATTTATACTTGAGTAACGTTTAGTCGAAAAAACACTTCTGCAAAGGATACACATGGGGTGCTTCTCAGTATACCTCCTTGTCTCCTCTCTCCTCTGTCCCCCATCCAATGACCCGGAAACCGATCAAGCTCAGCCAGCCATCTTGAAGAACATCTCAGGTCTCTAATTGCACCATGAGGATGCGAGGATCAAGGGGTGAGGAGGTGAGTTATGAGTGTGGATATACGGATGTATCCTTTGCGGAAGTGTTTTATCGACTAAACCTGGCACAAGTTTAAATTCTCCTCCACCTTCGTGTCGGTCACAATTAATTTATACTATACCTTTGCAGTTTATTTAAACCGCACATCTCACATATTTCAACAGATTATCTTGCTTTATTGTTTATTAATTTCTTAAATATCCAAACTTCAACAACATGAGGGCAGATCCTTTGAGCGCTGCTGATGACTCTGTGAAATTACGCTCGAGTGATCAAGTATTCCAGACAGTGTGTAAAAAAGCTTTCATTTGATTCCTCAATCCTCATTTTCTTTCCTTGCGGCCTTTCCTCGCATCAGTGGTGGAGCTAAGACGAGGAAAGGAAACAAGGATGCACCAATAAGAATCTTCATTTTAGGAATGGGGTTCATCGGAGATGTCCAATAGATTTCTTATAGGCGCGCCGAAAGAACACCACAGACACAGTGATCACTTTAGGATTTGTGAAAAATATGATACACCGGTGTTTTGCCAGATGAGAATTGTATATATGTATCTTTTTACTACTTTAATTAAATTGTATAACTCTATCATATATCTCTTTTAAATCCCTTTCTAACTGTTTTAATTTTCCTTGCTTTTATTTTTGGGATTATTTTCAGTCATTTCTGTGTAAAGCACTTTGAATTGCATGAAATGTGCTAAATAAACTTGCCTTGCCTTGAAATGTTATGAACAGCAGCTGCTAATTATTTTCAATCTGCTTTCCGTTTCAGTCTTCTAACTAGAGATCACGGCAGCTTCGGTTTGGATCCGACCTCTTATGAAGATTTCAGATGACTCAACACCTGTGAACAGAAGAACCGAGCCTTGCGAGGACTTCAGATGATGCCAACTCTGAATCAACATACACCACTGCCAAATTGTATTTATATTGTAACTGTAATCAACAACATTTGAAAGCAATATGTATTCTGAACAGCACTATACAAATAAATGAACTTTGAATTGAATTGAATTGACTGAGATGTGTTTGTTGTTTGCTAAATAGAGAACAAGTGAGTGAGAGTGGAGAGGGATTTTTATATAAATTAGTCTGAAAATTGCATCTAGCCATTATAGTCACAGAACTGAATATTTATCACACAGCACGACCATGCACAGACTATTGGTTTAAATCAGGTTTATTTTGAAGACAGCTTGTGGAAATGAATGTTTATGACAGTCTGTCCTTAAAAGAAATTCTATTTCGCATTCTTTCTCTCAGCATGACAAGGCAGCTGGAAACATTGGGATCTGCAGTCCAGCTAAGAAAATGTTTTCCCTATAGCTGGATAAAAACATCAAATACAAATTGTTATTTCCCTTAGGGGGAGGCCAAAGAAACACAGATGCTCACTTGTGACCATAGTTTGACTTTTGGTAGTCCTTGCAGTTCAGTCACACAAGACGATCAAAGTTTCACAATGAAATTTAAAAAGGCTAAATGAGGGCAATGAAAAGACCTGGGAACCAAAAAGAAATATAGTGAATGGGAAAAAAAACAAAAAACAATAAGGACTATCATTAGGAATAAAACAGAGGCATGCATTATTTATCACAATTTAATATTACATAATTAACCCACTAATTAGCCTACTGAGATGAGGTGGAGGAATAGATTATCTTTCTTGTTCCACCTCACAAAAAAGGCTTACTCCCACCAGAACTTTTGTAATAATTTGTGCTGTCTTTGGGTTACTCCTCATATCGTTCATGAATTTGAAAGTTCATCAACTTTTCCACAAGCTGAGGAATAGCATGAAGCTGCACAGTGTGATTGTACACAAATGCAAAACGGCATCATGGTAACACACATGACTCTAAAATAATGCAATGAACATTAATTTAATAACATAAGATGTAACACAAAACCCTAATAAACTTATAAGAAACATAATTACGCTATTGAAATAATAATAAAAAAAAGTTTTTAGTTAGTGGGTTAAAATTTTAATTATTATAGGCTAAATTATATTTATAATTTTAGTGTTACAGTAAAATGACAAAATATAAGATCTATTGCATTTTTTTTTATATGAAAAGGTTAATAATTGTATTTTTTTATTAGATCAGATAGCATTTTAAGTTGTTATATGGTGATGTTACAATGTAGGCTACACCTCACACGTTACAATGTACCTCACCTATGGGGCATGTTGTCACATTTCACTTCCACTTTTTCAGGGTAAATCAAGAAAAAAGTTTACACTGTATTAATAAAACAGACCCACATAAGTGTACTAGACACGTGGGAAATTAATGTGGGAAAAAAATAAATACTCTAAACCCTAAGTAGATTTACACAAACTGAGAAAGTCAAAAAAGCGTTACGTTGAGCCCTGCTCTCCCCTAGACATTCTAAATAGTAGGCTATAGCTATATAGTATATTTATGGCTGCACGAGACAGCATCAAGAATCGGCCTAACTTCCACGTTCAAATTGACGTTTAATCGATGTTTTATTAACAAGTTTCGGGAGGATCACGTTCTAATGATCAAACAATCAAGTCAGCCAGCTGTCAGCAATCAGTAATCAACTGGTTCACTCAATCAGCACAAGTAAAGCCTATAAAAACACACAGTTGACTCACCCTTATTCCTCGACTGTTCTCAGCATCCCTCCACCACCCCATCTCCTCACACTTGCCTAATTATCTTCCTAAACAGAGATACGGGGGGAGTACTCTGGGTTCGGGCCCAATTTCCGAGCTCGGAGCCCTCCCCCCGGACAGCACGCCAAATACGCATAACTATTTTTATTCTCTGATCATTAGTGAGTGTGAACTCGTGAAACGCAAATGTTTAGGCAAGTGCTGCGATGTCTTTTTGTGCCACCCAGTGGTTAATAGGAGTCTAATCAAATGTGCATTTTACCCCGTTGTGCATTTATCCGGGGTAAATTATTGCACATTGCAGTATTTTTTAGTAGTAATAAAATACCTGTGGAACACCGATAAATTGCATAATTGTCTAGGTAGGTAATAGCCTACATTCAACAATATAATTAATACTAGTGTACTCCATTTTATTGAAGCCTGAGGAAGAATGATTTAATTGGATGACGGGACGAATAGCCTACCTGCTAAGGTAAACATTGGTCTGTTTGGTGTCTTTTTCTCTCGCGACTAGTTTGGCTAGTTTACGGTTGAAAACCTTTTGCTTTATTTCAAACAGTTTTTAAAATAACCACTGGAATTCATAATGTAGGCTATCTATGGGTGAAGTAGTCAGGCACACCATGCCTTCATTTCGCCACGCGCGCCACTCTCCAGCTCAGTTTGTGCTGGGAACTCACAGCGACAGGTTGTTTACGCGCTGTTATGAGGAAGACACGCATGGTTCAATTACAAGTATTGCGAGCTTTATACGACATAGGACTTTGAGCTGAACGACAGCGCAGAGTATGGTTGGAGACATCGAGACTACTGTAAAACATCCAGAGATTTAACAGAGGCTTCTGCGTAACCTGGTTAGACAGTAACAAACTTAATTCTTTCCTATTATACCGGAGTCCTAATCATGTTTCTCTTCAGAACTTTATCAACCTTAAGACTGGTCGCCGTTTTACTGAGTTTGGGGATTCACCAGAGCATCTGGGAAACAGTGAGTTATCTCCGTGGATTATTTGCTTTGTATCTATCAAATATTGTATTTTGTATTAATATTCTATATTGTTACTGTGCACAATATACATTGTGATTTTTAAATTGAGATTGCAGAGTTCTAAAATCTTGGTATTCTGTGAATTGTCGTGATTAGACTGGGTGCTTTTTAAAATCAAGAAGTCATTGCAATTTGATTACCTCCTGTGGCCAGTGGATTCTGTTGTTGGGCTATGGCATAAAAAAAAGAATATTTCCAAATATCAGAAATCATTTCATAGACTGTTTAATCAACCTTATTGTTGATTAACACATCTGTATATGGCATGTTAAACGTTTTTCACCAGCTTTAATCATCCTTTCCCTTTGTGTGACAAATTAATTTAAATTAATATGAGTTCAATGCTCCATGCATAGATAAAATACTTAACACATGTTTAGTATGACAAACCAAATCATGTTGAATTTCCTGAAGTATTTCATTTGCAAATTTTAGCATTTGCCTCCAGATTCATCATGTGAGATTTTCTTTTGAGAGAGATTGACATATTTATTTGAAAAGGCATGACACTGCACCACTGAATTAGAAAAAGTATGTTGAATGTATGCTGTTTGAGTTGCACATCATAAAAGGTAAATGTGTTTATAGCCCTGCTTTCATATGTATGTGAGATTTTTTTTTAGAAATATAGACAAATATACATTTATTTTAAAAAGGCATCATACTGAGCTAATGATGCAGATGAAGTGTAATCCATTCTGTTTGATTTCCATTATTTTCTCTAGGGATCAGTCCAGTGCTATTAATGTGCTGATGTGTCACAGATGTTGATTTGATTAGCTGCACTGACCTGAGATCCCGGTCTCCTTTTAATGATGTTTTGATGACCATTTCCAGTACAGGAACACTGACATATTTTTACTATATGTAAAGTGGCCAATTGAGGTTCCTGTCATGCATTTTATGTGACTTACTGGCCTTAAAAAATTAATAAATAAATAAATACAAGAATTCTGTTCTGCTAATTCAAAGGTACATTACCATTCCAGTTTCTGAGGAGCACAGGCCACAAAGAAGAGCGCAAATCAGTGTTGTAATTAAATGTAGTTGTTGTTTGGTACTCCCTCTAATGATATGGCTTTCCTTCCCTGAATGGATGTTCATTTCCTATAATAATGATTCCATGTGTTCAAGAGCCTCTTCCTCGGGGCCGCTGGATGCTATTTGACTGATAACAGGATCTTTATCGGTCCGTTATTTTTCTTCTTTATTTGTCCTCTCAACATGTTTAACATTTCTGATCAGGTCACCAGAACATTTTAGTGCAGAGGTTAGCGTGATTGAAGACAACAGGTGTCTATTTACTTAAGATATTTAGACAGTGAGAACAAAAAGGGATTTTTAGCTCCTTGTTGCAGAATTTTTGGTGCAATGATATACATTTGATCAGTACATTTATAATATCAATTTGTGGGGAGACATGGAGGCGGCCTTGAACACCCTTTATCAGCAGATGTGTCAATTGTTTTTTGGCAAGATAGGAGACTTTACATTTTGGAGACTTTTAAAGCTACATGGATGAGTCAAAAGTCCTGTGAATATAGATTTAATTGAAACAAAGTGCTTTACTGCACAGGTGTGTCTCCAGTGCTTCTCTCACCCATCCTGACAAACAAATTGAATTTGTTGTAGTGATGCATAGAGGTCTTTCATCGTTATTATTCCCCTCACAGTTTCTGGATGCAAAGATGAGCCTTGGCCTTGGCCTTAGTCAATACCAGGGAGATTTGTAGTGTCTGCTTGGGTTTAATGTAGATTATATGCAGTCTTAATATATGCAGATTATATGCAGGGTAAATGTTTTTCTCCAAAACATGTTATTTGCCCCCTTATATTATTAAATACTTTTTTTGCCAAGATAACCGCTCTGAGTCTTCTCATATAATGCCTGATAATTTTGGAGAAATCCTGACAATAGATCAGAAACCATTCCTCTACACAGAATCTTTCCAGGTCTTTCAGATTCCCAAATCCATCTTGGCGCTTTTTCTCTTTAGTTCAGCCCACTCATTTTCTAGGGTTCAGATCTGGGGACTGGGATGGCCATTGCAGATGCTTGGTTCCCTTTCAAGGGAACTCGAGCTGCGTCGAGACGATGTGGGAACGCCCCTGTGTGATTGCGTCGTGAAGCATGTGTATAATCAGTCTAATGGAGAGACAAGACCATAGTGAGAGTGACGTCATTGACCAGGAAACTATACAGCACACCTGAAAACGGTCTCTGTATACTGTCTCTCTCTATTTATTGTTGGCTGTTATTGCAGGCACAATATTTCACAGAATATTTCACTCCCGCCAGGCGTACTTCGAGGAGGACGGTTCGGTGCGCGCTCTCCAGGGTGCAGGTCCTGCTGCTGCTGAGGTACAGCAGCGACGCACATCTTGGGGTTCACCAATGGATCTGACAGTGGGGTTTGATATGGGCCCGCCCAGCCCATCTCAGCATTCACCTGCCAGATCCAGTGCCTTGGTTATTTGCTGGTAACCGCGCTGTGGTTATTTCTCCCCGGGATTTCACCAATGCTGTGATTATCCAGTTCTGAGGAATAAGACGTTGTCAGCATTGATGCAGGGGATTATGAGAATTCCCCATCTCATTCCCCTGTTGATGAGGAGCTTATGGAGGTTGTTACTCCTGCTGTGGCTAAATTAAATATTGATGGAGAGCAGAGAAACAGGATGATTATAAAAAGAAAAGTTTGATAGATGAAAGATACCTACCATCTACATCACAGGATCCTGGTCGGGGTTTGCCATTTTTCCCGACCACCACACTGAGGTGTCGAGGGCATGTAATAATCCAGTCTCATATTGTGTTTTTAATCCATAAACATTGACTTATTGCAATGTTATTGGTATTAAAGATGTAGGTTATGTGACTATGCCGCAGGCTGAAGAGATGCTTGCAAGCTATCTCTCTCCCGAGTCAGCATCGTCATTAAAAGCCCTGATGTTACCCACCAAGTCACTAAAATTCATTCATTCATTCATTTAATTAGGGGATAACCCCTTGAGATGGAACATCTCGTTTTCAAGGGGGTCCTCAAAATCTACTTCAGCACTGGTGGGTAGCAGGTCAGGCTGCGGCATGCTTGCATACTATGTCAATTTAGCAGTCATACCAGGCTAATGTGCTTAGGTATGTAGATTTCAGGAGCTGAAGAAGCAATCAGCAGCGTTCCAGAAGTTTCTCCCTCGCTGATCTAATGTTCCCGAGACTGCTAGGCGGGAGCAGTCTGCAAGCTCCTCGCAGCTCGGAGTGCAGCAAAAACAAAGCATCGGCATTCGGGCTCCTCTACAATCAGGGGGGCCTGGGTGGCGGTTACAGTCAAAGCCGGTTAGAGGTAAGTAAGATCTGAGGACTGTCATTGTCGACAAAGGAGTCGTCCTGACGCCGAGGCTATCAGACTTCTAAGGGTGGTCCTCTCTGGGTAGAGACGGGTTGCCGTTTCTCCTCGGGAAGCCGCGGGGAAATAAAATCAGTGAGTCACGCATTGAATCAATGCTACGGGTCTCTAATAAGTGAAGCATCAGCTTCATCGTTGCCTATGCGACGCATTGCTGCTCAGCTGAGCCTTGAAAAGTTGAACCTCAAAGTTAAAAATAATTAACATCTTGTTTCTTTACATCTCTTTAATGAATCAGCTTTTTTAAACGTGTTTGTTGAATGAACGGTTCAATGACTCGCTCAAAGTCCGTTGTCATAACAATATGCGCGCTGAGTGAAAGTCTTTCAATGCGCATATACTGTAGACGCTGTTTAGTTTCGGTTACATTTGTTACTGAAAATTTCCTTGTTTTAGTCCACATCGTAAACTTTATTTATATAGCAACAAAAACATATGAATTAGATAAATAAATAAATGGTGGTAATACCGCATACCGTGCTATTGAGCCACTCAACATTACCGCAAGGGAAATTCCATAACCGCGACAGCCTTACTCGGTGCCCTCCAGAGGGGCAACTCTCTGAAGGGTCGCTGCACTGCCAGTTCTGTTGTTCCCTGCCGGTTCGCCGCTTCAGGACATGGAGGTGTCAGCATCTTCAAACGATCCTCCGAGGAGGGTTTGTAAAGCAGTTATTTCACTGTTCCCTGCTGGTTCGCCACCGAAGTGACTATTCGACCAAATCCAGAGGCAAGTCTCGAGATACTGGTTCCCTTAGTAGCTTTTCTGGCAGTGTGTAAGCTACTGCCAAACATATCTCATTGGGTCCTGTATACAACAGAAAAGGGTTACAGAATTCAGTTCGATTCTCGTCCGCCCAGAATTCTAGGGGTCCTCTCTACAGTGGTGGACACCGAACAGGCTCTGGTTATGGAGCAGGAAGTACAGACTCTTCTACGAAAGGGGGCTATTAGAAAGGTTTCCTCCTCCCAGCAGGGAGTCAAGGTTTTATAACCAGTACTTCATTGTTACAAAAAAAGATGGGGGATGTGTCCTATTCTAGATCTGCGACAACTAAACTGCAAGGTTCAGAAACTCAAGTTCAAGATGCTTACACTCAAATAGATTGTGTCACAGATTTAGTCCAAGGACCGGTTTATAACGATAGACTTGAAGGAGGCTTATTTCCATATATCCATCCATCCTCATCATATGAAGTTCCTGCGGTTTGCTTTCGGGGGCGACGCGTACCAATATCGGGTTCTTCCGTTCGGCCTAGGTTTATCACCCCGCACCTTCACCAAATGTGTGGATGCAGCTTTGGCTCCCCTGAGACTCCAGGGGATCCGCATGTTGAGTTACATCGACGATTGGTTGATTTTTAGATCAGTCCGAGCAGATGGTGGTTTGGCTTTGAGATGTTGCTCTGTCCCACATAAAGATGATGGGGTTGAGGCTCAACGCCAAGAAGAGTGTGGTCATTCTGTCTCAGAGGACCACTTTTCTAGGTATGGTATGGTATGCGACAACAATGTGAAACTGTGGGCTTGGCCCCTGAGGGAGCCCAGCTCATGGAATCAGGATTCTCGATCGAGGTCGTGGAGACCATATTCCAATCTATAGCTTCCTCCACTAGAAGGAATAGTGCATAGTGTTTCCAAAGCATCTCTCTTTTTTATCTGTTAGTATTTGGTTGAATCTATGATGCCATGTATCTGAAAAAGAAGTCCAGGAACTCTGGCAAAAAAATTAGGCCCACAGCATTAAAGATATAGCAGAGTATTTCATTTTACACATGGGGTACTTTTTATCCATTTGTGCACCAAACCCATCTTAAGTGTTTGCTGCCAAAAAAGCTTTTTTTTTTCTTCCTTCAATTCATCTTAGAACCCGTCCCGTTTGAAGTTCCAGTAGTGTCAGTTAGTTTTCAAACATTCTATGGACAGATGAAACAAACAAAAAACAGATTTTTGGCAGCAAACACTTAAGATGGGATCTGGGAATCTAAAGGATCTGTTATTGTTATTGAAATACACCTCTGGTGCAACTCAGACACATCATCAGTGATGTATCCTTGGGTGTTTCGGGTCTCACAACATCATACACCCTCGCCCAGGTGACCCAGCCAGGGTTGATCAGACCCTGAGTAGCTTGTATGATCCATGGATCGCCCCGCTTGATCCACAGCCATCTTGACGCCTTTTCGGCGGCGTCCGTGATGTTCTTGACGGCTTTTTCTGATGTGCAGTCCCTCCACTCCAAGCATCTTGAGGGCCCTAATCAGTGACTGGCCGACGAATCCTCTGCACCCGACCTCGATGGGATTACATCGGGTCCTCCACCCCCTGCTTCGGCATTCGCCTGCCAGCTCCTCATACTTGGCCCTCTTTCTCTCAAAAGCCTCCTCCATCCGGTCCTCCCAGGGAACAGTCATCTGGAGAGAATCTGTATGGAGGAATGCTCTCTGATCTATTTCCGGTGTTCTCCAAACTATCAGGCATTATAGGAGAAGACTCAGAGCTTTAATCTTGTTTTAAAATTTTGTTTACAGCTATCTTTGATCATATTTACCAAAGGGGAAATAATTCTGACCAGCACTGTATAGACAACCATTCTCATTTTAAAATAAAATACAAATTTTGAAAAGATTTGAGAGTTGATCAATGTTAATGTGTACTGTGTGATGTTTCAATGCAAAAACTTGCATTCTATTTCCTAACAGCCAAAAGTCCAACTTTACCAAGTACTCTTTTTTTTATTATTATTTTATACAAATTATATTTTTATAGAATGCAAATGCAAAAAACAAAAACAACGGTAAATTGTATACATTCAAAAGGATAATTTTCTGTTTTATATCTGAGCAGTAAATCTCAATCTATCCTTAAAAAAAATCATCCTACAGTACTACCAAAATGTTACTCCAGTGCCGTATTCAGCTATTTTCAGAGTAATCGGTTTGTTTACTCACTGACAACCTTTTCTGGGGTTTATCATTAGCCAAGAAAAACTTTTAGGGTTTATCATTTACTCACCCTCTTGTTGGTTTAAACCCCATGAAACACAAAAGGATCTAAAATGACAAAGCAGTCCATTCTAATGTGCACTGCATTTCAAGAATTCCGAAGCCATATGATTTGTTCTGAGGAACAAATTTAAGTTGTTAATTCTTGAAAATGGTTCTTTATGACACAGTATATAAATCTCATTCACATTTAAAAACTGTTGCCAGGTTTGATGTTAATGACATACAATTTCTTTGACACACTATCTTGTGACCAACAGCGACACTCTTGAATTGCTTTCATTGTGCCTTCAAATGATTGAAATCGGAGTGGAATGGACTACTTTTACTTAGCTTTTTTAACCATTGTGTTTTAAATGATTGACTTTATATAATACAATAATCTGCATAGACAATTAATTCAGAAATTGAGTTGACAGCCAATAATATTCTTGAAATTAGGGTATGTTAACAGCACTAAAATGTATCGTTATGTTATCATAATTTAAATATTTTTTTCTGTCTTATAAGATGTTTTTTTTAGGCTAGTTCGTTTTCCGTCCTGAAGATTCTGATAGACCTTGAGATATGCGAGACTTGTTTGTGAGAGTCTTTCTTTTTGTTTTAGAAATGCACTGCAACTAAACCAGTGAAAACTTCCCGAACTCATTCTCTCTTATCTCGCCTACCAGCAGGCGACAGAGGTCAATGAAACCAACAGCGCAACCATCTGTTCTGTTTTGAATTCGGAGAGAACATAAGCACTAACAAGCACTCGCAGACAAATAGACAAGCAAACACGCAGACTTTTCTAAACACAAACAGCAATAAACACACTCACACTAGCGCTCTCACTCAATGCATCAACTTGTGTCCTGAAAACATCCATTTCTGCCTATTTGCGCTGTGAAAGGGATATGCCCAACGTCAACTACTGGATAAATAATAGTCAACATAGCTGGAACATTTACTTTGATTTCCATACTGACGTCATACTATTGATTTGATTCACACATCGAGGATGACACACAGACCCCTGAGGCGTCCCTCTAGAATAAATACAACAATTCACTTTTCCTGGTATTGTTATGATTCACCATTTCTGTTTTCCTTTGGAGATGCGTAGGTATGTTTCAGGAACTTCTGAATCCGTTTCTACAGCTCATTCCACTGTAACCTCAGGCTTAATCGGATCATTAGCATTCACCCACCTCTGACTCTCTCTCATTCCTCTCAGGAATAAGTGGGTGGCCGTTACAGGTCTTTTTATGCAGCAAAGAGGTGAAACAGAAACAACTTTTCCTTTTTAAGTTGTTGAAAATACAACATCCCACACATCTTGTTATATAGTCATTCCCTCTTTATTTCTCTGCATCTCTAATGCATTTAATTGTAGTAAATGATGGCAAGAGACTGATGAAATGGGTTCAATGGCTGCTTCAAAGATAACAAGATTTTACAGACTAATATTGGTGTGTGGCTGGGGCTTTTTGATGAGATATTTCAGTCTGAAGTCTTAGTCTGATAAATACTTAGATCCCTTAAATAGATATATGCAATGCATTTTCAATCTGTTGCATGCAAAAATGCTGGGGATCTTTCTTTTGTGGAACACAAATGGAGTTAAACATATGTACAAGCTGTTTGCAATTAATGTTTTAAATTGAACGATTTTCCCTGATTTTATTGTCAATTTGACTTAATGGCAAGTGACTACATTGTGAAATTGCTCACCATCTTTCTGTAATAGGCTCAGCATGTTTATGTGGTTTCTTAATATGTGCTGCATTTTGTAAATTCATTTGCCTCACACCTTTTTTTTTTTTTCCATCATCATTCTCAGGTGGAAACGATTCATCCAGCATGTGCTCTGGTGGCTGAGCATATTAAGGCTCAAGAGCAATGCATTCACACACAAAGACAAGAGGCCCACATGAGCAACAATATCACTGGTGAGCTGTCTACTTCATTCCTTACTACTTTGCATCTCCTCTATGTCGTTAATGTCTACCCGTTTGCTGATTGATAATACGACACTTTTCGAAGTCAAGATGATTTAAAAGATTCCCAAACTAAGACTATTTCTGATTGGATGGGGTGCTGAAAACTAGGTTTACAATATTAAGCATTACACTTTCCTATATAGATCAGGTCAGGCAAGGGGTCAGGCAAATAGGATGCAATAAAGTGCTGAGATTTAGTAGATTAAAGGCAGTTTCTCAAACAGAAGCTGTTCGATTCTGGCTGCTGATGAAGGGTGCGGATCAGCAGATGGGATCAATACAACTCAGGTCATTGCACTTTCATTGTCAGTGATCAAAGGATAATGAATTATAATGACAGCATGATTCCATTTACTAAGGTTTTGAGATAAATCATATGTAATATTTGTAGACTGAAGCTTACTTTTTTCCCCATTTTTTTGTTATTTGTATAAAGAAATTATCAGACTAATTAAAAAAAAAGAAATTCAGCCAATTTATTTAATTACTCAAAATTAAACGTAGTAAAACTGATTAATTTTGAGGAATTAAATAAATTGGGTGCATTTAATTGAGAAATTAAATTATGAATGCTTAACTGACTTTCATTAGTTAGATTCATATATAAATTCAGCTTTTCATCCAGATCGTTTTTTTTTTTAATTGTCTGATTGATATTTTACTGCATTTAATTGAGTGCATTTAATTGAATGCATATCTGATATTCATTAGTTAGATTAGTATAAATTCAGCCTTTCATCCAGAAAGTGCATGTTTTACTTGTCTAGTTGATCGTTTCCTGTTTGATTCTGAGTAATTAAATACGTGGGCTGCATTTAATTTTGAGAAATTAAATGATGAATGCTTATCTGACTTTCATTAGTTAGATTCATGTATAAGTTCAGTCTTTCATCCAGATGTTTTTTTTTTTTTTTTTTTTTTTTTTTTACTTTTCTGGTTGATATTTTACTGCATTTAATTGAGTAATTAAATGAGTTGGCTACATTTTGAGGAAATAAATGGTATAATACAGTGCTGCAGCTCTCCACCACCGAGGAGATGGATGTGCTGAGCATCGAGTCAAGGGATTTGGGAATTAAGGGAATTGAAGATTCTCCATCTCAATCCCATGTGTACAATGAGTTTTGGAGTTTATAACCTCCGTGTCAGGGCCTTCCACTTTTTCTGGAAGCCACTGGTGTCAGACCTCTGAGGGCAGTGTACACCACAGTATACAGTGCCCGACCCACCTCGGTGCCCTCAGGAGGTTTTAGCGCTTTTAACATTTACTGGTCGTGACATCACCTGCCGGTGACGCTCACTCTCGCCATTCAACTATTTGACACAAGTGCATCGGACACAATCACGCAGGGGCGTTCCCAAAGCGCCATCGACACATCTTCTTGTTCCCTACTCAGGGAACTAGGGTTACAGTTGTAACCTGAGACGTTTTCAATGAAGACCTGTCATCTTAGTAAACTAATGAAATTGTTTCTGTACACTAGTGTGGATGCTCAAATTCTCTTAACTACTAAACTTACACAACCTTAGGAAATCTGAAGCACATAAATATTAGATGGCAGTACAGATTTGTTTATTAAATATACACTGTAAACCCATTAGACACAGCCTTCAATTGTATGCAAATAAATCTCTTTCCAGCTGAGGGCTCCAAAGTCTGAAAGTATTTGAGACCAGTACCGCTGCTAGCGATTTTGGTGCCCTAAGCATAATTCCTTTATGATGCCCCCCAGAAAAAAAAAAAAGAAAAAAAAAAATTTTTTTGCCAGTTCCAACGGACTATAACCAGTGGTGGCAGCACAATCATTACTTTCTAGAGTAATTAAATGCTCAAGTTCCTCTGTTTTGTTATATACATCCTTAAAAAGTGCCTATAATATTCTATACTGAAATAATATCAGCATTATAATTATTATGACTATGATATGATGATTGATTTTTCATTAGGCTATTTTTGGTGCCCATTCAGCACTTGGTGCCCTACGTACAGCGTGGTGGGAGTGGCGCGCTGTTTGAGACTAACAATTAAATATTGTGCTAAACCATTATAAATCCAAATATTAGCTGCATGCTGCATTTGTAATGCTCCGAGTAATTTCTTTAGACTTCAAGTAAAATTTCATTATCATTTGTCTCTGGCATTTGAACCATTTTTAGCATAGATAGTCTCATAAAAGAAATTCTGATTTGCTCTGAAAACTGATGTGCCTGCATAGGGAATGACTTTCCAGTAATTTGTATTGCCACAAACTGTCTATAAAAACATTTTAATGTCACTTTAATGCAACAAAATGAATTTTTTTTTGTACATTTTAAACCGTCTATCTTCAGTTTCTCAAGAGACTCCATTTGGCAGAGTAAAACGTCTTGGGCTCCGTCTCATACCTGCAAATAAAAGTGAACAAATGAGAATGTAGCCTCTGTAGAAATGACAAATGTCGATGTGACACATTCCTTTAATTTAAATATAAACAATTAAATTGGAAATCATGAGTTTCCTAGATAATACCCGGACAATAAGTAAAAGGAATATTTGAAGTCGAAACAACTATATTTTTACCTAAAAAACCCTTTAAACTACATTCTGTGACACAACAATAGTATTTCTAAAATGATTGTATGTTTTTCTCCTCGCCATGACACTTTCTGTGAGAAATGCTGCAAGCAGAGTGATACAAAAAGTGAAACATTTATACTTGATACTGGTAGAATATTGCATGGCTGGAAAGACCTCTGCTCTGATTAAGGACCAGAAATAACTGCTGTAAGTGTGTTTGAGTGTATTCTAAAGAAATAAACATTTATAAAATACATTTCATTTTATACATTTTATATAATATTTATTATTATATATTTTCCCTGCTCCTGCCAGACTGCACTTTCTTGTGGTTGTATCAGCCATTTAGCATTGTGATTACATAATTTCCTGCAGTAGTAATTAATCAAATATATCTCTCAGGCGTTTGGCTCAAAACAAGCTGGGGTATGAGAAGACATCAGGATGAAATGAATCATCTCATCATGAAAAGACATTAGTGAATAGTAATGGATCACTTTCTCCAGGTATTATACCTCCCTGGGCTGATATGCCATTGGGCGACTTGTTTCCATCTTGACTGAGTTTGTAGAGCATTGGCGAGTGTGGTTCAGACATATTAAGAGGTTTTTAGAAGTCAGTGCCGGAATCAGTGCAGGTGAAATGCTGTCCTTAATAGGAAAGTTCTTAATAGGAAATTAGGAATCCATGTTGCTCTGCTTCCTGCCCCACATAGACTTTAATTAACATTGAGCTTACAGAGAGGAGGAGGGCAGGCGCCATGTCCCTCTTATGATATATTACAGAGCAGACGGGGCTTGACACTAAGTTAGAGAAGAAAGAGACCGCTCATGACTCAATGGCGACTTCTTAAAGGTCAGGTGGGTGCTCAGTACAATCTGTTCCCCTGTATGAAATTACTGTCTATAGAAAATAGAAAAAAAATAATAATAATAATATAATAAAAAAAATACCAAGAAAATGTTTGAGAAACTGATTTAGCACTGTAAAAAAATTCAGACCTCTCGAACTAATTTTTCTACACTCCAGCAATAAAAAGTTCTATAAAGAACCTTAAAGGGATAGTTTACCCAAAAATGAAAATTTTGTCAGTTTTTACTCACCCTTATGTTGTTCCAACCCCATAAGAACTTGGTTCATCTTCAGAACACAAATTAAGATATTTTTGATGAAATCTGAGAGCTGGATCACTCCTCCATAGGCTTCTTAAGGGATTGAGACCTGTTCCCCAAAAGTATATATATTTATAGATTTATAGATGTGTATATCTGCATTCTGGCAGTGAACAAACATACTAGAATTATTAGAATACTTTTAATGTCCTTTTATAAATACTGTAAAAATATAGAAAGAGTTCTGATAAATTGATAATGAATTATGTTAAAAATAATATGAGATTTCAGTGTAAATGGCATTTTATATATAAGGATCAATGCAATGCAGATTTAAAGTCTGTGCCGGTGCACTGAATACACACATTTATCCCTGAGATTATGCTGATTTGAAATTCAACACAGCTACGTTCAATTGAGTTCCAATAATGACAGCTGGAATTAATGATATTGGTGTATCCAATATGTATGTTGGAGCTTCAGGTATACAGTATATGAAGAGTTCAGATGCAAAAGCCTCTAAGTGCCATTTGAAATTTTCTTCTAGAATGATAATTTTTATCAAGCTTGTATATTTAAGTTAAATCATTTCACTTAAATGACAATTAATAGGTCATCTTCATTGCCATTTAAGTGGAATTACTGAACTTAAATATACAAGCTTGATAAAAATCATCATTAAAGAAGAAAATTTCAAATGGCATTTAGAGGCTTTTGCATCTGAACTCATCATATATACCCAGAACCTTCTACAGCAGAATCTATTTTAAATAATGTATTTTTTATACTTTTATAAAGAAGGTCTTCATATGATTAATCATCTCACAACTATACTCAAAAAGTCTATGTAAAATTGTCATATTTCATGAGTCATATTTGATAAATCTCTACTGTCCTGTCATAGACAACATTGGCAGTCAGATGGACTGCCCATAAAAAATAAATGTGTAGCTTTTTACCAGTGGTGCATTGATAATACTTGCATTTAATGAGGTGGCATCAGGTCTTCAAAGTCTTTCTCATTTCTGTGGGGACCAGCCCAAGATTCCATAAATGTCTGTGTGTGCCAGAGAGTTTCACACTTAGTCACCTGTACTTTCCCAGCTCCCACTAAGATTTTCAGACTCTCTTTCTCAAATACTTCTCCATTACTGCAAAGGGAGTTGTTGGCTGATTGATGTCAGTGCCAGGTGTTGTTGTGAACTGATTGCAATCCTTCTTCTTAAATGTGATCAATAAATAAATTCATAAATCATTTTTAATAATGTTGTCGCAATTTTTACTCTATTTACTCTATCTAATTCAGTTTTCCAAATTAATTTAGATTTTCAATGAGCTTGACTCTGCTCTCCAATTAAATGCATTAAAAGTTTGTCAGCAGGTGTACAGTAAGTCAGCGTTATTTAAGTATTATTCATAGCCTATATTATAGAATTTATTAATATTTAAATGACCTTTTGTTTTTATATCTTCAGTTTAAGTTTTAATAATTTAATGTGATTTTGTCTTTTATTATTCTTTTTTTAAATATCTCTATTTTAGATTTTTTTGTTTTTTTTAGTTTTGATGATTTTTAATGTTTTATTCACAATTTTTATTTTCAGTTTTGGTTTTAGTTAACAATAACAACACTGGTGTATGTGTATACTATATAGTATATAGATCTACGAGCAGTAGAAATTAGATCCAAGACTTAGACGTGGCAGCCATATATATGACCAAATATGATCCCTGTGGCTCTCATTATGCTCAAAGTCTTCGTCATTCATTCAGCTTCTGTTTCCACTCTTCTCTTGGATTCCTCAGACAGATGCTTGCCCATGAACAGTGGTGCAATGCTTATCTAACCCTTTTTATTCTATGCGAGAGAGTGTTGCCCGGTCTCTCCGACTGTCTAACAGAGAATGTTCTCAGAATTCTCGAAAGGCTATTTATACATTATGAATGGGACTTTTTTTCTTAAAACATTTGTGGTTGGACCATTCATTTAACATTTTAAGTGTTAGGCTACTTACTTGTGTATTGTAACTTTAATTGTAGTGTAGCAACTTAGAAACATTTTGAAGCTGATAAGTCTGTTCATGCTTCATTTTAAATCTGAGGATGTTCTCTCTAAAAATATGAATTTTGATTCAAGTGTCAGGATTCCATCCCCTTCACCATCCTCATCGCCGCCCACTCATTCCCTCTCACCCAATCGGACACTTCCCCGTTCACAATCCCCTGATTATTGATCCCCGTCACCTGTGTCCCATCACCCACATGAACTATAAAGCACTCATTCTCACTGCAGTCACGTCTGGTCTCGTAATTCCATGGCTCACAGACTCCCCGACTATCTTCCTGCTGCTTACCTGTTTCCCGTACTTCAAAGACCAATCCATCCTTCCCGAACCACCGCCAACTCATCTGCAACAAAGAAAATGACATTAATCACCAGCTAAGCTCATTTATGTTTCTAAGTCATTTGATCCTCACCTGTTATCTCCAACTGCGATCCATCTGCACAATAAAACTTACAAAACTTACCATCCCGTCTGTTTCCTCTGTGAACCCTGACACCAAGATTATTTCATTGTGTGTTTTTAGAGAAGGCCAATAAATTAAGTTTTATGAAACAAAGTTCGGTCAGGAAGTTCGATCGGTTAAGAAATCTCCGGATCAACCAAATTGCCAGGGCAGGCTTTATACGTAAACGTAATCATCACGTTATCAAAGAACGCTTAGGTTGGTAACTGGTTTCCCTCAAAGATGACTGCAGTTGGAGAATTGAAATTTATAGATTACGTTATCGCGTCTGTTGTAAAAGAAATCGACAGCACATTAAATTTTAATACAAAATTGTTTCGTATATTACAGCCCATTCGCATCCCAAGGCATCACCTAACTGACGCCTTGGGAAGCATTTTGACCATGCTTCAATATCTGATCTTTTAGGCACCCTTTAAGCCTAGTTCACACTACGTGATTTTAAGCCCGATTTGCAAATCGTTGAGTCGCCGACAAGTCAGGGTGTCATCGCGTGCAAATCGCGGGCGATTAGCGGACGATTAACGCTCGCCAATCCGTTAGTGTGAAAGAGCCAACAACGCATCAAAGACAGCTCGCAGACACCTCGCAGACAGGTCACCGAGCTCAGAAAAATATCTAGCATGCTAGATATTTCGAGCAGTCGCGCGACTCAATCTCAGTGATGTCATGAGTACAGCCAATCATAGCAACGCATGGGTTGAGGACACCAGGTAAATCTTACTTTTTCTTTTTTGCATTTTTTTTCTCAGAGCAGATCGTCAAACAAACAGTGTGCAGCACTAGTTTCTGTCTGACGTCCATATTCGCGTGTTGTGTTCTTCTCTACAGTTTCGCGTCATTTCTGGTTCGTTTTATTGCGTGGTTTTTCGTTACAAAACATGGTTTCTAGACCAGATAGAATCGTGTTGTCAACTCGTTATTTGTTTGATTATTTTCAGGATTTAGACCGTACTATAGTACTGAAACAGCTCTCATTGAGTCACAAATGATATGCTCTTATCATCCGATCGTGGTTGTATCTCTATGTAGTGCGTTGTTAACTTGTGTAGTGAGTTACTTCTGTTGTGGATCAATCACGTTGTGTTGTGTGGTGTGAACAGCTAAACAACTTGAACACTCATGATTTCACTGAGAGCAAGTCATGTAGTGTGAACTGCACAGTTCAGCCCGACATTTTAAAATCATGTAGTGTGAACTAGGCATTAGCGTCAGTTAGATGACGCCCTAGGATCGCGTGTAACCCTACCCCTACACCAGACCTAAACCTACCCGCGTCATCTAACTGACGCTTTTCCTTTAGCATCAGTTAGATGACGCAGTAGGATGGCGTCATGTTACTGACACTTAAGGGCACCTAAAGCGTCGAATATTGAAGCATGGTCGAGAGATGACGCCTTGGGGTGAGAATGCGTTGTGTATTAATGTCCCTGAGTTTCTGTCTTGAGATTTACATGGTCATTTGTTGCTATAATTACCAATTTTTTTTTTCACCTGTGTCTTGTTTATTTGCTTGTTTTTACCTGTGTATATATGTGCCCTCTTTTTGTTCTTGGAGTTGTCAGTTGTTGTCTATGCGCTATAGCTGTTTATCTTGACCTTTTGGATTATCTTCTTCTGAAAATTGCATCCACTTCTTCATCTTCCTTTTAATGCAACATGACACCCTTATTGTTAGTAAAATGATCAAATGGGATGTTCTCTTAATGTTTGTGTAACCATTAACCAAGAAAAAAAAAATGGACATTTTGAACATTCAGAGAATATTCAGACATAACTGTTTCTACATATGGAAAATATATCTTCCAGAACCCAATTTTGAGATTACTCTTTTGACAAATATTTTGTGTGTCTGCTTATTGCTTATTTATTTTTGTGTATCTTAGGGTGTCATACCAACTGGGATGGTATTTGGTGCTGGAACAGAGCAGAAGTTGGACAGGTAGTCAATGTCTCCTGTTCCGAAGTGTCTCAGCTGTTTGCAACCAATCAGGGTAAGCTATACTTATCCCATTTTTGTATTATGGCTGTTATCAATATCAATGAGGAAGACATTTTTAGATGAACAAAGCTCATTTTTAAGACTGAATGTATTGGTTGAATAAAATGACGAGGATTAGGTGAATTGCAGGAGCTTTTTATCTGTGCATTATTATGAGTACCTTACGAAGTTAAATACATCGACAGCTGTGTCATTTCATACCACTGCCGAGAAGCTTGCACGGTTCATGCCAGATCATTATCATTTGGTTGGTCTCTTGCATGCACTCAAGCACGACAAACAGTCTTTACTGACACACCAACCCAGGGCAATAATAGTGACAAGGCAAACATACACAGTGATACATCATGAGTGTTCTATAAATTCAGCTAGAGCTCTGAATATCCGGATATCATAAACTCGCTTAATAGTTGCTTAGGGACACTGAGTGTATTTGTTTTCACGGGTTGAGTAGATTACAGTTATTTCTCAATGTGTCTTAGCAACATGTGAGCAAGCAAATTGTACTCATGATGGACTTTAAGTGTTGTCTACTGGAAATTGGTACCAATTTTTTACACATTACAATTCAAAATTTATGATTCATGCCAGAGGTCCTAATCAGTAACAAGATGACATTTTTTTTTCCCCCATCCTGAACATAAGACGTTACACAATCTCCACCAATCTAAAGATATTTGATGGTTAATGTAAGTTATGAGAAGAGGGATTTTAGGTCAATTAGATTTCATGGTGGGCAGGGCTACCCAGAGGACAATAAAGTTAACTTTTTTAATCATAATGTTGTTGCGCCTGTAATGACACATTTATTTATGATCTAATTGAAAATCGGGGTTACTTACTAAGTTCTTTTTGTTCAGTTTGACTAAAAGCAACTAACACTTCCAATTGAAAATAAAAGTAAAACAAATAAACTTCACAATACTTTTAAGGTTGTTTTATTGTAAGTAAACTAAATTAAACATTCATATTACAGCTAATTTAGCTTTTGCTTATGGTGAAATTAAGTAAAATATATAGTGAAATTATGGTGAAATATATTTGGTAAAGTTTTGGCTTATGTCTAAAGACAATATATTTAAAATGTCCACCACTGAACTGTTTTTTTGTGTTTTTGAGGAAGATGAGAAAAGTGGGAGAATTGATAGTGTTCATTGTTCAGTTATGCTGGGATTTAGAACACAGCTTCAACTACACTGGATAGATAAAGAATATTATGTATTTGATGCTTTCCTTAAGGACACAACATTTAGCTTTCTAATATGTGCTATTGCTCGCTAACATTTTATATATATATATATATATATATATATATATATATATATATATATATATATATATATATATATATATATACCCATTACTTCTACTTTCTTGAAAAAGAATTAAACCAGATCTCGGCTCAGTTCTGCATTTTTCAAAGTAGTTGAAACGACTTTTCTCTATTTACGGATATGATGAGACACACACACAGGCGAGTGATGCATGTGCGCAATTTCCTGTGAAAAGCCTTATTATAGGTATCTTGTTTAGTTAATTTTGAACTAAAAAAAGCATTGCATAGTCTACCTATAAAAAAGCGCTTAAACTAGAGATCCGAAAATTATCGTTTATCGTGATAAAATCATTATTTTTGGCTAAAAGAGAGGAAAAAAAGGCCCAAATAAATAATGCCCCACCTCTCAGTGTTCAGGTGTCTTTTTTTTTTTTCTTTCTTTCTCTTGATCATTTGCGAGCGGCTCTGCTTCCTTTCAGTCAGCCCTAGCAAACGCTCTCATGTACCGCTACGCTCCCCGAAAAAGCAAAGTCTGTACAAATAATGTGCCAACATGATTCTTAAGGTTCTCAACATTTCTCTGTAATAGACTTGTTTCTGTTTGCAATAGCCACACTGTGCTAACATGGTGTGGTAAAGCCATGCAGGGTAATGCTGGTGAACTGTCTTGTTCACTGCTCTGCTTCCCTGCCTGCTCACATGCTCTGGATATAATTGCTTTTTAGGACTCGACATTTATTTTTATAATTAGTCAAAAGATTTTTTTTTCTTTTGCATAGAACTAAATGAAGAATAATATATTGATATTCAATAATTTTTTTATTTTTTTCTGGTCTTACTTTACAAGTGTGGTTATTGTATTGTATTGGTTTGGATTTCGTCCTTTCAGATTCAACAAAATGATTGATTTTAACAAAAAAAAACTGTAATATTAATTCAGTTATACAAGAAAAAAATTATTTAAAATAAGAAATTAAAAATATTTTTTAAAAAGACGTTTTTAGTTTTTGTCCAAGTGCATCTAGAATTTTAGGTTTTCGACACAGCATTTTTATTTCCGTGCACCTCTTGTTTAAACCAAACCATAAGGAAAAGCGAATACATTCGTTTTTAAAAAATGTGTATCACCCCTGTCCTATGGTGGACTGAAAAATAAAGTTACACACATTGGCATTGAAAAACATTTAAAAATCATGAACCTTGAAAAACTACTCCAGGGCTTTTGAGAAATCATTGTGGAGGCTAAGAAAAATCCACACACTCATGAGACAACGGCTATCTGCATCATTGCTGTTTTTCCATCCCCCCACACACCTCTATGAATACATAAGTACACAATGGACCTGAAGATATCTACATTGATCTGCTCCAAATCTTGCTGAAAATGTGCCAAGGAAATAATACAAATATTAAAAATCAAAGAGGGTTAAAGCAGGCATAATAGCAGGGGCTGTTAGCACTGGTTGTTCAATCTCTTCAGTCCCCCTAGGCCAGTGCCTGACATCTCCACCACAGAAAGCAGCAGCGGTCAGGTCCTCAGTACTCTCGTCTTCCCCCACTGTGGCTTCTGGGAGAGATACTTGCAGCACATGATGAACTCTGTTTTATGGTAATGCTAGAAACAGCGGGTGAAAAGAAATCCCATTGGCAAGCTAGCACTGAACCACCCACTTAGCAGGCCTTTAGAATGGCCAAGATAAGTGTAGGTGAGGAGACTGAAGGTCATAGGTTAGCTGTAATGTCAAGTCTTACAGAGTTAACTGAGGCTTAGTCTAAATGAAGTACATCATGTAAATGCATACAGAAATATGAGTTTATTTGTAGGCTATTTTAGTCATTTTCTATCTTCAATCCTCTTGAAACCTTTTTTTTTAATTCTTGCAAACATTTTTAAAGGTACAGTTCTGAATGTAAAAGAGTAGCAATACTCGAGAGCACGTAGATGTGAATTTGTGAACTTGTACAATAAATATTCATACTTGTTTGTACATATTTACACTCACAGCTCCAATGTGAAATCCTTTAAAATAAAAATCTGAAGTTGAATGTTGAAATTTGCACTTGCAGACAACAGACACAAACCTGTATTCTGAATTGGAAGCTGCAGACAAGTAGTCACAAATGTGTAAAATGCCATTCACAGAGATACAATGACAGTCATAAACATGTAATATACATTTGCATTTATTCTTACATTCACAATATATTCTCAATTACGTGCAACTTCTCAAATCTGTCACTTCAAATACTAATATACAATACAATACAAAACAAAGGACAAATCATACACATTACAATAAGACATAAACAATACAACAATCAACACACTGCCATAAAAACAACAACAACAAAAAAATAGGTAAAACATTATTAGGTAAATACAACCACTAGTTAGCCCATCCCAAGACGTCATATAACTGACGTCTTGGGACGTCTTTTGACCATACGTCAACATCCGCCGTTTTAGGGTACCCTTTAACGTCAATTACATGACAATCCTGGGACGTCATACAACTGACGCTTTACCTTTAACGTCAGTTAGGTGACGGGGTAGGTTTAGGGGTAGGGTTAGGATCCGATAATGTCATCTAACCAACGTTAAAGGGTACCCTAAAGCGGCGGATGTTGACGTATGGTCAAAAGACATCCCAAGACGTCATATAACTGACGTCTTTTGACCATATGTCAACATCCGCCGTTTTAGGGTACCCTTTAACGTCAGTTACATGACAATCCTGGGACGTCATACAACTGACGCTTTACCTTTAACGTCAGTTAGGTGACGGGGTAGGGTTAGGATCCGATAATGTCATCTAACCAACGTTAAAGGGTACCCTAAAGCGGCGGATGTTGACGTATGGTCAAAAGACGTCCCAAGACGTCAGTTATATGACGTCTTGGGATGAGACTGTGTTTGTTAGCCACACAGAAGCTGTGGTGAAATACAGTGAAAACAAGGAATAAAAGGACTTGTAAATTAGTATGGTATCATCTGAAACATTAACAATTTAGTTCAAAATAAGAAGACAAACTATTTTTAATATGTGAAATTTTAAAGATCATATATTTGAAGGTAAGTTATTCCAGTCTGAAGGAGCCTTAAACAAATGCTCTCTGTCCTATTTCTTTTTTGACTATAGGCGTGAAAAAGAAGTAGGCCTATTGTGTATTCTCTAAGTAATTGGACTGAATAAATGAATCATGGATGACTGGCATTTCTACAACTTAAACAATGACATAACCTCGGTATTCACACCGACTCAATGGAATCAGATTTATATATGTTTTTACAGTATAGTGGCAGGTTGCCTCACTGCTAAGTTCTGTTTTAATACCGGGAACACTGGTTTGACAATCCAATCAAAATCCAAAAGAACTCCTCATGCTAGTTTATTTTCCAACTAGGGGGAACATCTGATTCTCAGTAATGCTCAAAGCTCAAATGGGCCATTTTGCTGAAATTTACCATCTTCTACCGAAAAATGAAATAACAGAAGAGAGCATTTGTCTTTAGAGCACATGATTAACTCCCTCAGCACACAGTGTATTAGGGTTTGAGTGGGCTTTAGAACCCAAAAGCTGTAATGTGCAATCACAAGGTTCTCAAGAGAAAGAGGTCTTTGATTAACTGCTTGCATCGAACCATTGAACCCTATTTTTTGTTTTTTTTTATTAGTGAGCAAATAAACTCTATTGCTCCCTAACCAATTCGGGCTTAAGCGCTTTGGTCAAAGAGAGTGCTGTTTTTCAGAAATGATATTCAGTCAGACAGTCTCGAGTAAACCCCATGCACAGTAAACCCCATGCAAGCAAGCTGATAAAATAATTTTATATAAACCTGATGGTTTGATATATCTATCCGAGCTCTCAATCCACACATCTACAGTACATATCATGAAATACAACAAAAGGTATAAGCAGATTAATAAAAACATAATCCCTTTTTTGTCAAATGCTACAGAGAGGAAGGACATGTGGATCACTGTAGCAGAGACAGTGTCATCCTGGTATTTAATGTTATTCGAGTTGAGTTTATACAGTAGCTTCATAGAACATTTCATAGTGAGGAAAAAAATCTAGGACAAATGAAGTTTTGTTTTTGTGAATAATTCCACAGAAAAGCAGGTGTATCTTTCTAACACAGGCAATGTAATGAACAGCTGTTAGTGTTTGGACTTTTATAAGTTTCTTTTTGGCAAATTATGTATCAAGATGTTCAATGTTGCAAGCTGATAATTATGTTTAACATTATTTTAATGCAGGTTTCATATTTAGGAATTGCACCAATAATGGCTGGATGGAAATCTACCCATCCTATAAGAATGCTTGTGAGATTGTGGAGGACGTGGAATCGGAAACTGAGGTGAAAACTACTATCAATTTCTGAGTGAAAATTATTTCTATACCAACTTTTATTTTAAAGTGTTAGACATCCTCAAAGAATCTTCCCCATAACCATTGTGTATTTGTATTGATACTTTCTCTCTCTCTCTCTTTTTTTTTTTTTTTTTTTTTTTTTTTGTAGAAATAAAGCACAAATGCTGTGATGTTTTTCCAAAACGTTCAAAATTAGATGAAGCCTCATGGGTTTTGGTTTGCTTAAGGTCTCCATCAAATATAGTTATATACAGTATGTAGTTATTTTTACCCTAATTTCAGTTTGTGTTCACTGGCACAGAACCAAGCAGGGGCGTTGCTACGTTTCCAAGATTCTGACCTGGATTTTTTGCCTCGTTTTTGCATAATGTTTCTCAGATTTTAAAACATTGTCTAAAGGGACTTTATACTGTCACGGCTTCCTTTGCTCTGCTGTCAGGCCCACATTCTGTTACTTGAGCATTTAAGCTGATGTCATAGGGAATGAATTGAAAACGCCCGCTTACCTCGTGCCACGCATGTGAAGCTCTTTACCACTTTTTAAAAAAACCTCTCACTTTTCTTTCTATCTGGGTTAAGAACTTGAAAGATCACTTTGGTTTTGTTAATAGTTGATGGGAGCAAATAAAAAAAATATATATATTTACTCACCTCAAAGCATAAATATCTTCTCTTCTGCCTGACAATATCTTTATATTTATCTTTTTTGTGCCAGTTAACCACAGTGCAATGGTAAAGAGAACAGAGACAATACTTTGAATAAAATAGATGAGAGTGTTCCTGTTGTGAACTAACCAATTAGTTGAATTAGACAGACAAGAGCATACAACTCGTATCTCTCTCTCTCTCTCTCTCTCTCTCTCTCTCTCTCTCTCTCTCTCTCTCTCTCTCTCTCTCTCTCTCTCTCTCTCTCTCTCTCTCTCTCTCTCTCTCTCTCTCTCTCTCTCTCTCTCTCTCATGAGGGCTAAATTTGTATAATAACTCATAATGACTTTCAGCTGTGACTGGATCAGCGGAAGTAGAAATGTAGTTATAGATGCACATGAAGTATAGTTAGTTGCATATGCTGCAATCTACATGTAAAGGTCTTGCATATGCTGACCTTTTAAAGCTGGCTTTGTCTTAAGACTTAAAAATGCAGGATGCAGAGGTAGGAATGTTTGCATATCATCGGTTCGGTTAAGATTCCTTTATCTGTTTTTGAATTTTGAAGACAGCATTGTTAGCATTCTCACAGCTGACAAAATTATGTTCTATAAATATGTAGCTGTATTTATGAATGTTCTTAATATTAAAAACATCCAGTTTTTTAAATGTAAAAATTATATTTTTTTATCATTTTGCAAAAAATTATAGGAATGTTACTTTTGAACGTTCTCTGAATGTTCTGAAACAAGTGGTAACATCTAAAAAACTTCAGAATATCAAACTAAAGCGTTTTTTAAACGTTAAAGATCCATGAATTAAGTTTTATCAGTTTTAAATTTTGTTATTCATTTTTAATTCATTTTGCTGCACTTTATTATTGGTTGAATATAACTTTATAACATTCATTGTTCAGACCTCTTTTCTCCATCCAGCCTCATACCCTCTATGATTCATGACATGTTTAGAATTATCCAAATTGAATTGAAATTATTAGAATTATTCAAATGTAATTATCGAATTGTCACATTTAGTACATTGGGAAAAAGTATGTAAGAATAGATTAATGAACAAAATACACAGAAAATTGTTCTACATGTGTGTCAAGGCCCAATAAAAACCAATAAGGCCCAATAAAAACAGAAATGTAAAACAAAATGTTGAAGTGCACCAATCAAATTGAAAAGACATTTTTTTTTTTAGAAATAATTGTGTAATTGTCTTTTCATGTTTTATCTTCCCCCTCTATTCCAGACCACATATTACTCCACTTTCAGGCAGGTGTACACTGTGGGCTACGCTACCTCTCTGATTTCCCTCATCTCTGCCATCTTTGTGTTTACAGCCTTCAGGTACTGCAAGAATCCCCACTAAGTTCATGTAACCTCACAAAGATCAGTAGAAATTTTAATCTGTGGGAGTTGTGTGACAAATTGTTGAATAATCTGCTAATCAATATTACTCTGCTCAAAACAGGAAGTTCCACTGCACCAGAAACTACATTCACATCAATCTGTTCGCGTCCTTCATCCTGCGAGCCAGTGCAATCTTCATCAAAGATGCAGTTCTCTTTGCCGACGAGAATCTGGACCACTGCTCGATGTCATCAGTAAGACTTGCCAACTGTCACAGGCTCATGCAGAATTTTAGTTTTTTTTTGTTGTTGTTTTATAAACGTCATTCAAAATAATGAGCTAATGAATGGTATTCAACATGTCAATGCTCATGTTCTCCATCAGCCTTGCGGTCAGTGAGCATATTAGGTCTCAATGCTTGATGCTGCAGCATTCATCTGGAATAATAGAGCACTTTCAAAGCTTCACACCAGATTCTGTCTGCATAGTGACACTAACTTCACATGTCTGCATCCATTTTTTCGCCCCTGTCAGTATCAGCCAACTCATCTGTGCCTTTAAGGCACACTTTTCAAGATCTGCCTCCGCTAGAACTGAAACACCTTCTTTGAAGTATAAAAAACACTTCTTCATAGCTAACAGTCTTCTCCCCACCCCTCTCCTCCTCTGTGATGGTATTTGTGCTGTTTTTTTATCAGCACTACTTAATTCTCATCTCTAACATTATGCTGTGCTAATGTCTGAGCACTGCAATCATTTCATACTTTAAGTTGCAATGCAGAGGTCTTGAAATTTTCTACATGCTGTGGCAAATTTCTATGGTCTTGTATCTTCAGTGGAAAGATATGTACTGTAAATGAATACATACATCTTGACGAACACTTACAATTTCTCATCTTCCTCTTCAGACCTCTTGCAAGGCAGCAGTGGCTTTCTTCCAGTTCAGCATCCTGGCTAACTATTTTTGGCTGTTGGTAGAGGGGATGTATCTACAGACTCTTCTAGCTTTAACCTTTGTCTCACAGAAGAAGTATTTCTGGTGGTACATTATTATTGGCTGGGGTAAGTGGGTACTCTAGCAGACTTGAGAACATATTGTTATATAACATGATTAAATATTACTACACTACTGGTCAAAAGTTTGGAAAAAAAATGTATGTATTTGAAAGAAGTTTTGGCTAAGTAAGATAAAAAAAAAAAAAAAACTTAGTAGTGTGATGCATTTATTCAAAATAATACACATGATAATACACGACCGCATTTCTGTCTTTCAGCATCAGCTTTACTCTGCAATCTACGTAAACGTGCACCCCTGAACATTTACCAACACTATAGTTACGCAATCTCAATTGTCTCAAATGCAAAGCATTCGATTCATCACAAGTACAGTAAGTTAGGCATTTTTTGGAGAGGCTAGCAATATCAAGCTATTTTTTAAAGCATAAGATCCCACCCTTCCTTCAGAGCATCTCAAAAGACTCAAAAGACAAAACACATGAACGCACACAGCAAGGAGCAAATAAGTTGCATGACAATTTAAAATAGAAAAGTTATTTTAAATTGTAATAACGTTTCACAATTCACAGGTTTTACTGTATTTTAATAAAATACAGCCTTAGGGCCTGTTCACATATCGTGCGTTTTGCGAGCTCAAGTTCGTTATTTTAAATGTTAAATGTATGCTAGACATGTGCCGTATTCGGTAATGCGATAAATCGCGTTAATGAATATGCACGATATTGTTATCGCGGGCACTTCAAAATACCGTGAAAAATAAATCGATCGCTTAAACGCTGCGCACTGTATATATGCTGCGCAAAATACGTGCGCACTCTGATGTAAACAATCCCCGCATTTACTTTATAATCACTGTGTGTATGCGGCAGTGCGCACTCTAGTCTAATGTAAACAATCCTCACATGGAGTAAAGCATGGCGGAAGGAGGAACGCTGGCGACGATTTATCTCCCGCAGGGCTGCCAACTCTTACGCATTCAGCTTGAGACTCAAGCGCCTTTCAGGCACCTGGATATGGCTTCTCTCTATATCCAGCGATGCAACGAGCTTCGCTGAAGAGATGAAAATCAGAGAAACAGCCTCCGAGCCCTGCTTATATACTATAAGCCACGCCCATACTATCGGGCTATGATGCTGAGAAGGCGCGAGCACCCTTCATTGGACGTGACGTCACGTTGGGCTCAGATAAAATGAATGAAAACAGACCAAGATATAGCCCCTAAAGGGACCTTTGCTGTATATTTTTATTTTTGAAAAGGTAGAATTGAACACAGAGCTTAAATGCGGTGAAACAAACCAATGAACTATGAACATCAGGTGAAAACAAACTAATGACTACTAGTAACTAATGAACACAAATTAAACTGATCTAGATACAGTGAGTCAAGCAAACACATAACGAGACATAATCCTGACATGGTTGAGCATAAACTTCTTCTTTTAAAACATACAAAAATTGTAATGATTCTAAACTTTTGACTGGAAGTGTATATTATTATATAATATTTATTTCTCAATGATTTGTAGTGTAGTTGCATGATAGTGTGGTATTGAGAATGAGGAGTCACGTGCCTATTTGGGCGGGGTCTGAGCCGGTCGGCCATGATGGTAGGTGACGCTATCGGTTACCAGGGTTTTTATCGGTTTTTAACGCAGCAGTTACTTCCAGGCATGGTAAAACAGTGCGGTATTGCGAGAAACTCCTCTACTACCGAGCTAAAAACACACGTAATCAATACTGTTTTGTCGTGGGAATCCTACCAACATGGCGGAAAGGGGAGGGGCACTGTAAAATGACGTCAACTCCTCGTTCTCAATCGTATTATGTTCCATTGGTGACACCTGTAGGCATCAGACCTCTACATTTCGATATTTTGAATATACACTAAATTATTGCACTTACCGAAGATATCAAACTGCTGTTTTAGCAGAGTAACAAAAATGTTTTACAATTTGATTACATTTTGTTTATTGAATTGTTCTGTCTGTATCCTGTAGGTCTACCAACACTAATACTGATCATCTGGGTCCTAGCAAGGAATTTTTTTGATAACAGAGGGTAAGTCCAGATTGATCTAAGCTTGTATAGACAAACTGTCCGTTTCTCATTTGGTCTGATTTGATTTGATTTGATTTTCAATATTTCTGTGCTGCATACATTTCTGCCCTTATTGCGAAAGTGCAGATTCTATGCAGGTGTACTCATATAATCATTGCAGGTGCTGGGATGACACAGATGTTGCTTACTTTTGGTGGATTATCAAAGGACCAATCACAGGATCTCTCCTGGTATGATTCACAGAAAAACACAGCTGATTTGATTTTATATATGTATATAAAGGCCACATATGGAATACAGTGGAAGCTGTTGGTTGCAATAGTATTTTTCAAAATATATATTATTAATGTATGTTTCATGTGCCATTATTAGCCACAACAATACAATTACGTAGTATATCAAAATTATACTCGCACGTTTTCTTTGCCCTAGTCATCATGATGTTTCTTTTTAGATATTTGATGACACAGTCTGTTGATGTGTAGAGTATATGAGCTTTTTCCTTTATCTTTTATACAGAGATGAATTCTTGCTTTTTTTTTTATCTAGATCAATTTCTTCATCTTCATAAATGTGATCCGGATTCTTGTGCAGAAGCTGAAGTCTCGAGGAATGGGTGGCAATGATACCAACCACTTAATGTAGGCCTGTAATGCACACTCAAAGCAAATATGTGTCAATGTTTGATTCAGAGACAATTGTACAATACTTGTGTATCAGCTGCACACGTGCTACTGAAGTTGTGCGTTATTGTCTTGTTGAAATTCTCGATGCAATATCAAAGTAGGCCGTTTTCAGTCTGCTTTTATTTACAGCCATCACAGTTGCTCATTACTCTCTCATGATAAATTCCCCTTCAAAACGTAATTTAATGCTTTGTTATTAATCTGAAATAATGCTGATCTTTATGTATACTTGTAGGAGACTGGCCAAGTCCACTCTTTTCCTGATTCCTCTGTTTGGCATGCACTACATGGTATTTGCTTTCCTGCCAGAAAACACTGGAGAAAATGCACGCCACTTTCTTGAGCTTGGCCTGGGCCCGTTTCAGGTGTGTACAATCAACCATCTGTTAAATTCTCAGAATACTAATTCCAGATTTATTAATACTAAGACCAGATTTATCATGGAGAAATACAGGACGGCATGGTAAAAAAAAAAAAACAATGATTTCGGGATTGCACGCTGTCTGAGAGAGTGCTTCTGGTGCATGTCATTCAGCGTGATACCAAAGAGTTATTTTTTCACAACTTAATGCACATAATAACTTGATAAAGTATTTTTGAAGATCCTGATTAAATGTACACACACACTTGTTTGACACTTGGACTTCACTTGGACGTCAGATTAATCTATAACAAATTGTGATTGGATGGATGGTAATTTTGTTCTTCAAACAATCTTTGTTCTTCAAACAATCTTGTCATAGTATATTTATGGGAACAAATTCACCATCCCTCCAATCACATCAGGCTATTCTCGCATGACAGAAAACTACTACTCGCTTTTATGATCACCTAGCAAAGACAATTAAGGATAGAAATATTAGAGAAAGCTTTTTTTTTTTCATAACAATTCAGGACAGGACCAAAATACAGGATTATACCAAGGAAAAAAGGACTTCTGGACACCCTAACTAGTGCTCATCAATTGTGGAATTGTCTGATGTACAATTTGATGTGTTTATAATATATACGTTATATGTATATTAAAGTGCACCTATAATGCTATTTTTAAAGCTTCCTAATTTAATTAATAGGTTTACATGCACCTAAGGTAAACACTTACATTTTCTCACAGTGTCTGAAACGGTTCAATAAAGCAGGGGTTTCCAACCCTGGTCCTGGAGGACCCCCAACACTGCACATTGTGGATGTCTGAAACATCCATCTGAGGTCTTTACCAACAAGCTGATAAGTTGAATCAGGTGTGTTTGGTTATGGAGACATTTAAATTGTGCAGTGCTGGGGGTCCCCCAGACTTGGATTGAGAACCAGTGTGATGTAGGATTTAGTCTTTAGCTGGGATTCACTTGAAGGCTGCATCTTTTTAAGAGATTGCATTTATCGGCTGCTTACCTCATTGAAGGTGCCTCATATATAAATAGTTTTAATTTCTTTATGACTTTGATATATAATGGTTGCTTTACTATTCAATAAGGTATGAGGCCGAAATGAGACACAAGCTGTGTTCCAATGTGAAGGCTGCATTCTTCGAAGGCCGCGGACTTGTTTTATATTTTACTGGAGGACATGGGAGGATGTTTCAGCCCTGACGCCGCCGAGTCATGTATTTTCGGCTTAGCCAAGACCATGGCTGGTTTACTGCGTACCTATTCAGAGGCTGCATCCTGGATGGCCGGATTACACTTTAAACTGTTCAAGTATTGGGTGTTAACTTACTTAAATAATGTAATGAAATATGAAAATAGAAGAAAACATACATAGGCACATACACTTTCGTTTGAAAACGTATATTTTTCTCTCCGTTTTGGCCTTCCGTCCACACTGAGACAGTGTTTTAAGTCAGCAAAAACGTATCGTTTGGAAAACGCTCTCCAAAGTGGATAAATTTGAAAACGCCGTTTTCGCGTTGTAGTGTGGACAGTGAAACCCGAGGTATTTCAAAACGATGACGTAAGTTTAGTCATGTGATCCATGTAGTACCAATAGATATTTATGTTTATCGGTATTGTGCATGTTATGTTATTCATTTTTACACTGTTGCTAAAATATGTTACTTTATATGTTACAGTACTTAATATGTGCTATTCTTCATAGCACAGTACTGCAAAGATGACAGATAATGTACTTACATTTGCAGTCCTGCGGCAAAACAGACCTGCTGTCCTTGCGTTTTAGACCAAACATATGGTGACTATGGTACCAATGACCTGTTTCAGGCAGTTCAGAATCAGTTATTTCTTTTGGGAGACAATAACTCATGATATAATCAATAACTCAGAATAACATTTATCGGGCACTTTGTTCTTTGAAATTGCTGACTTTTTGACCACATAGATGGTAATATCTGAATAAGCATAATATTGAGCTGTTCTGTGATCTGTGCACCCTTACTGATTGTAATATTGTGTTTCTGTACATCTCAGGGTTTTGTTGTGGCTCTGTTATACTGTTTTCTCAATGGAGAGGTAAGCTACAATTTCCCCCTAATTGTAAATTTGTGTAAAACAGGAAACACATGCTGCTTTCAAAAATACACATTCATATTTTTGCATTTCAGGTACAAGCAGAACTAAAGAAGAGAATGTGGAAGTGGCAGACACAAAATTATTTGAGATACAGTAAGAGAAGACGAACCCTCTTTACTGAGAGCAGCACAGTCACACAAATCTCAGTTTTAGAGAAGTCCAGCCCTAAGGAGCAGCCCTTAACAGAGTCCCACAACAGTGTGTTGACTGTCTGAAACCAATTATTTACAATTCATCTCATTCCCTTTTTCTCTTTCTTGAAACCTCTTAACCAGGGTTCTTCTACCCTGATCTTTGAGGTTAACTGTCCTGCCCGGTTTAGTTTTCGAACCTGATCAAACTCACCTGCCTGTAATTTTACATTGATCCTAAATATATTTATTAACATGTTCAGATGTGTTTAATTAGGGTTGTAGCTAAAAGACAGGAGGGCCAGATTTGAAGAATCCTGCACTAAGACACAAGGCACAAATAATTGAAAAACTTTCAAATTCATGCATTGTGTTAAGGATATAAAATGGGTGCTGAACAATCCAAAAATTTACTTCTTTTTTCTAAACATCACATCACTGTAACAATTAAACTCTTTACTGATAAAATAACTCAAAAGCCCAAATCATATTGTTAAGTTTCCCCTACTGCTGGTTTAAATTACAGTAGATGGTTGCCATTTACAGAACAAATTCCAATACAGGACAGTTCACAGAAAAACTGTCATTTACACATTTTGTAATCCCCATCAACTTTTATATATGGAAAAGAGCATCTTATATGATGATCGTGATTTAACTTTGTTAAACATGTTGCTCTGCAAGTTGCATTTATCACTCCGTTGTTTGTCACTTGAGACTTATGGTCTGCCTACCTTGTTGAATGTTGAATACAGCTAATTGCCTTACAGTAAACAGATCTTATTTTGGATCATTCACAAAATAATAGTTATCAGTTAAAAAAGAAAGAAAGAAGGTATTTTTATATTCATAAAGACATTCTTATTCTTAATATTTAAATTTGTAAATTAGATTTCAAGGCACTATATTGCACAGTGCACTGGCCCTGTATGTGTAAAGAATTATAACATTTTTACAGGGCTTACATAGTATTTTTCTTAAATAGTTGGTATTTTCAAAATATTGTGTTCATTTTGAATCAAATAAATTAGCTTTGATTAAATCATTAGAAGTTATTGAAAATGAAATAAAAAAAATAATAAAACAAAAACCAGTCTCTATACAAAGAGAATCTTACAATGTAGATGTTTTAAAATTTTAAAGATGATGAATAGTCATGATATGAGTATTTACAACCCAGATAGCAAATTGCCTTTGGGTCGGATCTGGCTAAATTTCGGCTGAGATTTTGACCCACACATACCGCATGGAATTACGCCCCAAGGTTGGCCCAAATACTGTTTGCCGTAATTCAACCAGATCAATGCCGGGAGCAGACCAAAACTCGCCCAGAGCTTTACAATATACCCAGATATTATCCAGAACTGGCCCAAAACAACACCCTAATCTCCATATGTGTGCCAGACAAAAGCCAAACTGCCACCACCTTTAGCCCAAGAACTCAGCCACAACTTATCCAGAAGCTCCATAAAACAGCCATAACTGGGCCAATATTATACCAGAGTCCCCAAGACTGAACCAGATCCCTGTGTATTATAATGAATAATACTGTTTTGAAAATTGCCTATTTAAGAATCCTTTGCATTGCACACATCTGGAGCACTAGACTGTAAAGTTTTTTTTTTTTTTTTTGGTATGTTATCTGGTTTCAACGGGTTTTGTAGTTTGTAAATGTATTTGTAAATATCCTTGCTGTATGTACAGTAGTAGATTTTATGTGATGTTCATGTACTATGTTTTACTGACATTTATGCTCAGTTATTTGGTGGTTTAATTATAAACAGTTTAATTCATATTAGTGCTCATTTTCATTAATAATAATTGCAACACATCACTAGTGCTATTAATTTCAATCACAATCTCTCACATTTATTTTGCAATACGAGTTTATGTGAAAGTTCCAGTCTTTTGTGAGCCTGGATACTTGTCATAATTGAACATACTGTATGTCGGATAGGGGCTGTATATAAGCTGTATAAAGTCAGTGCCATAGAAATGTGCAATAGTGTTAACTCAGAAAAACCCAAATGCGTTTTTATTTTCTATCACAGAATTTATTGTTGCTCAAACATGATTTCAGACAAGAACACGTTGCAGGGATCATGAATTCAAAACCATTCAAGTACATTCAAGTGAATCAGGAATAAGCCTGACACTTTCTGACATTATGGTTATATGCTATGCTAAAATTTATTTATTCTCTGATTGTTATTTAAATTTGTGTTGTGTATATTGTCTGTTTCTGGTTATCAAAATGTTGCAGATTCCCATTCCGATGACTTCTGTTGTCTTAAATGTAAGTGTCGTTGCTACATTCACCAGCCTGCCTTAACATATGCAGTTATCAGATGTATATTAGTTTTGTTAAATGTGTGGAGTAAATATCTTTATTTTGTGCTTCGTGAATTGTGACATTGTGTATATGTAAATTGACACCAATTACCATACAGTAGGCAATGGTCATGGAAATTTGATTTGAAAATAAGGAAAAGATTTTCATCTTCGAGTACAGAGGACAATGTTGTCAAAAAAATCACAAATTCGCATTTCTGTAGTTTACACAGAGACAATAACGCCAATGTTTTTATCTCGCACCCGTTTTTTTTTTTTTTTTTTTTTAATAGTTTGTTTTTTCAGGCCCCCAAAACGTCATTGTAAATGAATGGCCAAAATGCATTAAAAAAGTATGCTTTAGTTAAAAAGATTATTGTGTAAACGCCTCCTTAAATTGCAACATTTTTGCAGCATTTCTTCTATAATTGGTCAAAGCAGATCTGTTCACTTGTTACTGTATTTTTCCACAATGGTGGCAAAGACACATTAAAGGAGTAGTTCACTTTTTTTTTTTTTTTAATTCATGATTATTAACTCCATGTCATCCAAGATGTCCACGTCTTTCTTCCTTCAGTCGAAAAGAAAGTTTCCAGGATTTTCTCCATATAATGGACTTCATTGGGAACCAAATGGTTCAAGGTCCAAATGGGAGTTTCAGTGCAGCTTCAAAGGGCTTTAAACAACACTAGATGATGAATAAGGGTCTTATCTAGGACCCTTCGAGTCATGACTCGAATAAAGATTTGTTCATTTCGATGAACGAGTTTAAACAGGAGAGTCACGAACACTCATCACAGAACAGAGAAAGGTGAGTATTTGTGCTTATTTATTTTTTAAATGACCGATCGTTTCGCTAGATAAGACTCTTATTCATCGTCTGGTGTCGTTTAAAGCCCTTTGAAGCTGCATTGAAATTCTCATTTGGACCTTGAACCGTTTGGTTCCCATTGAAGTCCATTATATTGAGAAAATCCTGGAATGTTTTCATCAAAAACCTTCATTTGTTTTTGACTGAAGAAAGAAAGACATGGACATCTTGGATGACATGGGGGTGAGTAAATTATCAGCAATAGTTTTTTAAAAAGTGAACTACTCCTTTAATGCATTTTTAACATCTACATTTACTGCCTTCAACATATTTACTGGTTTATGGATCAGGATTATTAATTGCAACGGGACCTTTACTTGTGAAAAACATTTAATGATGTTTCAAAATCAATAGTCTATAATATACAAAAGATTTACCAAACATACATCCAATTACATACATCCAATATGACAAAATATGCACAATGAAAAACATAAAAACTCTCTACAAAAACAAATTTAGCTGCATTTAACATAATCTAGAACATTCAAATGAATCTACTGTCATTACAAGTCTCCCAAAACACTTTAATATTAGTATACTGTGTGAAGTGACATTATACTTTATGTACTATATCCCTCCATTCAAAATCAAATATCTTAAAACATTTTTTTCAAATATCTTAAAACATGTATTACATCTAAATCCATAGCTTATTCTACGTAGAGTATAGTTATCATACATTTTCACACAAAATTTCAATTTACAAGAAAGAAAAAAGTAAAATGTCATTTCTGTGTAAAACCCTACACACTTTTGTCTCTATACCCGTGTAACGCTGACAGTTTACTTAATTTCCCATCAGCCCGTTTTTATGTATATTCTGGTAGTGGTAATTGCAGGCATGTAAGCTGAATGGTTAATATATTCTTTTGAATGTTGAAAAGAGGTATAACATGTGCTGATTTTCTAGTTCTGGGTAAGTTAGAATCTGTGCCAGCACTGCAATCCCACTACTTTGAACGAGAGGTATTAGAGAGCTGTTAGAGAAAAATATGTCATTTAAAATGGTCTTAATATATTATACAAAAATCACTGTAATAATTAACAGGATATATTAAAAATAGTCATGATGTGTTTTCAAGAAAGTGCACATGCTTGTTGGCCCTATAGGTACAGAAGACTCCGAAGCTTATTTTTTGTCATTGTGGTATTTTTTCTTGAAACAACAATATTGCTGTACATCATAAGCCACCCACTTTCTTTGTATGCTTTAGCAGCCACTAGATCACAGGAAATGCATGCGTCGTTTAAGAGGAATAGGCAGCGATGCTGGGAACTACACATTTAAACAACATGATCAACTCTTTACTTTTCACTCAACTCTTTAACAATTTAACTGAAAAAAATCTAAATGCAAAATTCTCAATTATTAAATAAAACTTCTGCATATGATCTGTGAAATGACATGTATGCGCTGTTTAGTTTTTGTTATTTTGACATTTACACTAAAAAGTATTGCAAATTATTTCTCTGCTTTAAAGTGTCCAATATACAGTATTGCTAAAGCTTGTTTACTCAGTGTGACGCAGAACCGAGTGTAATATTAGCACACACTGATCACGTCACTGAATGAAAGGTACACTATGTAACTTTTTAATAAATACATAATCAATCCTTCTATTAAAACGTGTTTCCTCTGACCCTGATTCACTATGGTAAACCTATTATAAGTGCTTATATTTTATCATTGCAGACAGGCTGTCGGGATGGATCTCGCGGGAAATTGCTTACATACATCACTCGCTTGTGTTAGTCTCGTCATGTCTGTAAATTGAGAAAAGTTGCTCCACCTCCTTTGATGCGTTTATGGTGAGGTTGGTTGTCGCAATGGGTCTCATTCATGAAACACGAGCAGAACGAATTTGTGTGTAAATCGTGTGTGAAGTGGTTCTGCCGTAAATTTTCGGATTCATTAAAATGTTTGTATTTTCCAAGTGTTAGTTGGTACGCAAGAAGTCTGCTCCCAGCCACACGTAAATGGTGCGCTTAACATCCGAACGTTTTGCTCATTAATAAGGCTGCATTTTAACTCACCTTAATCGGGTACATATTTAAACAGCATTTTGAAAAAAAAAATTCTATAGTAATTACATAGGTTTTTCTTTTTACTTTTATTATGAGAGCCAGTAATAGATCTGGTGATCGATGGTGGTCCTTCTCCAGTTTTAATACGATTTTTCCGAAGTTAACTACTTAGTTTTTTGCTGTCAAGCTTAATGTCGAACCATTTTCTTCTCATTTCTGGGACTGTTCGATTAACAGATGAAACTCCATTAACTCCATCTATGCTGCCAAGCTTCCTTTTTTTAGGACCTGATACGCCACTATATACACTTGAAAATAAAATTGGCGTTTTGAAAGAACTTCTGATAATAAAACTTCAATTTCTACATCTGAGAAATCTCATTGTGTATATATATATATATATATATATATATATATATATGTGTGTGTGTGTGTGTGTGCATAAATATTGATCATATAAAATAATACATTATTTTTGAAAAACAGGGCATTTGTTTTGTGATAGATCTGTTTAAACACTAAACTAAATGCTTCACAAAGGGAGAATATAAATGTAAACCGTTTCATAAAATGGGGAGAAAAACTGTAATGTGTTATGATCATGTATGCAAGATGTCTGTTGCTTTCCCATATTCCCTAAATCAGCTTTTCTCAGTTTTTGGAATTGCTTTTTTATATCAAATTACTTTTATATTTTAGCATTACACAAAGAAAATTAGAGAGTTCTGCTAAAGGAAAAACAAACAAAAAAACTATAGCTTAAAATCTCTAAAGGCCTCTAGGTTTGCTGAACCATAAACGCACTTTCACAGAGTGATGCAGTTATTGTGTTGCAGTTTGTTGTTGCAAAACCAAACAATTGTCTCTTTTGTGCAAAAAAAGGCACTTTGAAGAAAAAAAAAAAATCTTCATATGCAGTGACATCAGTTGCAAAGAATTGTAAACTAGTACGGCAAATGACTTCTTAAGGGGGTCAAATATCCAAAAAATTAATCTTTGGAATCTTAAAAGTGCTCTATTTATATTTGTAAATGTGTTAATGACATTAAATTACAATTACAAAAGGAGCAAAATATAAACAATTATGAGTAAGAAAAGCTATAAGACAATTATCAACTTTCAAACAGTAAAGTAATTTAGTGTAGTTAAAATTAATTCATTCAGTCAAATGAGAATAAAGATTCATAATTCTTTGCTGCTCAGGCCAAACATTGTGGCATGAGCTTTTTTGCATTTGTTATATTCCAATTGACATTTTCCGTATAGCGGCTGTTTAAAAAAATAGAAGCACATTAAGTACTAGAGGAATATACTAATGAAGTTACTGTTTTAAGAAAGTTTTGAATGCTTTGCAAACGTTAATTTTGAAAATATCACATGACTGTAAAAAATAGATCAACACTGCCCAAGAAGCATCCACAATGCATGTCCACCAAATAATGCGTGTCATGTTTTGTCTTTAAACTTGATTTCCAGCAGTCACAATTACAACTTATGAAAATATTTACATATTAAATTAAATTTAGGAACTGGGAATCATTTACTGATTAAGCTCCCGCAGGAAATATGTGGTTTCTTCCCCTTCAAAAAAAGACTTTTTTTCATATCGCACATCCCGATGACGCCTGTCCCACTGTCGTCATCCTGTTCAACCGCTTTATTTTTTGACGATGCCATATTGAGAATCTCAAACTGTCACGGATCTTCACAGACAGAGAAAAGAGAGCATGAGAGACTCCTGTACAAATATATCCACCTTGTTCGAGACCTTCAGCTTGCTGGATGGAAACACTCCTAAAAACTGGATTGCAAGGGATTTTTAACCTCCTCTTGGCCTGCAACTCCTTTCAGATCAAATCCAATACATCCACATCAAAAGTATCCATGTTTGCTTGGCTCACAATAGATCATTGGTTAGAGTGCCATAGCAAAAGCCTGTCATCTGCGGACGGTTGTCATATATTACAGCTTCAACCGACACAACACTGACTCTAATAGAAGATGAGACGGGACTTGGATGTTGGCAAATTATAGTTTCGAGGAGTTCGGTCTTCAGTCTGTTACTCTGAGCGCTCATGTGGCTGGTGTTTCCGCCTGCAGGCTGGACATGCGTATCTGTGAGCTGCTCTTGCTGAGGATAGAGAGCTGCGTGCCTCCATTCACACCACTGCTTGCC